TTAAATTTTTCTTTAATTACAACAAAATCTAAAACAAAATTTTCTTAATCCAAAACCTTAAAATTAAAACATTTTCTTTAATTAAATTAAACAAATTCTTTTTGTAAGTATAAAATATTAAAATTAAAATAATTTCTCCTTTTAAATGCAAAAATTAATTCGTTTCTTTAATTAAAAATTCAAAAAAATAAAGTTTCGATTTAGCCATTATTTTCGTCTAACCCTCGTTAATTTGTTTGTTTTAGCTTTATTATTATTTATTTCAATTTATTTTATTCCATGGATGTAATTTACGCGAGGCCATGGTCGCGATTTATTTTATTTTGCATTTTTTTGGGACTTGTAATTTACGCGAGTGATCGTCGCGATGCTTTATTTACTTTCCGCATTTTATTTCTGCCATATAATATTTCGCCATGTTTGCATGTTTACCGTTAATCATCCCTCCGAAGGAATTAGGTCCAGTCGTTTGACCGCCGAGTCAATAACCCTAATTTTTTACCGTTTCAAAAACCCTAATAGCCTAGGTGTCCCGCCGTGGACGAAAATGCTCTTTACCCTAGAATTAGGTCAAAGAGTCGTCGTACTCTGTTTAGGGTTTCCTGCCGTGGAATCCCTAATTTCAACCCTAAATTTTCAATTAACAAATTCAACATAGAAATAGGAGTTTCAAAGACTTCACGTAAGCGTGTCCTTAAGATACGTTTATTCCCCATTGAAACCTTGACCATAGTCAAGACGTTTCTAACCTCCCTTTCGAGGGGAACTACGATTACTCTGATTCCATTCCCTATCCAGGATACGTAGGCACAAGATGTGACGTCTTGCCGAGTAAACTTAGGACTAACCCTTAGGTCTTTAGGTCACTCTATCCCTTAGCAATATATTTCAAACAAATAATAAAATAAAAAAGCATACAATAAACAAAAGGTTCCTGTAGAGTACTACAGAAGTTTAGGATGCTAGTACCTTCCCTAAGCTTAACCAACCCCTTACCTAGATCTCTCCCCGCATTGTCTTTACGATGCAAAATTAGGTTTTCCTCTTTTGACCTTTTCCTTCGGATAAATCAAAGAGCGGTTGTGAACTAAAGATGCGATTCAAATTAATTAATAATTTGATATCATATTCTAACCGCATCAAGTTGTGTAATAGAAGGAGTTCTAATATTTCTTATTTATATGTCTTTGGATGCAAATGCATTTTTCTTAAAAACAAAAAAGGATAATCTTGGGAAATTTGGCGCAAATTATGATGAATGCATATTTCTAGGATATTCCACTTCTAGCAAATATTTTAGAGTTATTAATAAAATAACCCTAAATATATAAGAATCAATTCATGTTACTTTTGATGAGTATAATCCCTTGTGTGTAGAGGCAGAATTTGTTGACTGTGCAAGTATTCTTGAGAAAACATTTTTGGAAGATGATGATCAAAATAAAGATCAGGATCAAGGTCAAAAGAAAAATCAAAGTCTAAATCAAGAGACTCAAGCATAAGAATTAAACATAGAAAATGAAGATCTACCAAAGAATGGAGGACCGATAGGTACCATCCAATTGATAACATTGTTGAAGATATTTATAAGGGAGTTGCAACTCTACAAAAGAATGGAGGACCCTAAGTACCATCCTAGAGAGGTTGTATACACATCAGTTGCATGATACAGAGCAGGCTATTGGTGATGATGATTAGTTTGTACAACATATAACATAAACTCTTAGAGCATACTTGTTTTATTTGGTTCACACGTCCATTTTTTTAGACAAGAGAGCCAGTTGTGTAGATGTCGTCTACCTGCGATACTTCGATGACTTGGAGCGAATCCATGAGTACAATTGAGGGACGGGGGCGCTTGTTTGGTCTACCTTTACTCTAATTTATCCGAAGGTTGTATGTGGAAGACCAAACAAGTGAGAGATAATATCACACTATTGAGGGTAATAATTGTTCATCTTTTAGCGTGTCATGTTCATAACACTTTTTCTACATTCATTTTTGCATCTTTTACTAATGATTCACATGTACCATTTTTAGGCTTGAATCCTCCAACACTTCCCACACATATCCAGTTGGTCATGTCTTCCGACCTACACTAAGGATATGCCATGTGCTTTTGCACTCGCCCTACTCAGAGGAAGTTAGGCGACAGAGTCATACCGAGTGTATCTTGACCACTTGGTAGAAGAAGGCATACACTTCTATAATTATGTCACTCATCATGAGACACATTCCTTTGACGACATAAACTTATACTCGAGATGGTTAGCTTGCAGTTCACGTATGATGTATCCTCATATGCCTGAGCGTGTCATGCGATAGTTCAACTACATGTAGTATATTCCCAGAGACCCTTTTGAGTCTGCTCCTCCCGCTATGACTAGTAGAGATATGTATACCATGTTTGATGATTATCTTAATCATTTGATACCAGAAGAGGCACAGAGTACCACAATTCCTAGCGACTAGAGTGTTGTACACGACTATGTCCACTGGTTTTTCAAGGTGTCACATCCTTATATGACACAAGATGCTCCGGGAGACACACCTAGGTCATCTCATCAGTAGATCCTATATGAGAAGTATGATAGGGTAGATTATGTTGTCGATGTGTGGCCTAGATGCCGTTGTATCACGAAGATTGGGCAGACGGGTATATACAGATGAGTTTTTTCAAATAACTATGAGGTAAGGAGCACTATTTTTGCTTCTATTTTATTTTGAATTCATTGTGTGCTCCAAATTCATTAATTTATATGTCATTTTCATATTATTCCAAAAGTGTGTGGTTCAATTTATACTAATAGTTATAATATAACGTCAAATTCATCAGAACATCTCTAAATAAAAGTAAACAATTAGTCTCTCGTGTGGTTTTAGAGATGCGTCTCAGATTCTTTCTGGTGTGAATATGGAGATGTATTTCTGGATCAATTTATGTCAAAAAAGTGTGTTTATGTGAGGAATGCATGAGATATAGATGAAGTAGTTCTGAAGATGCATCTCCGAAATAAAATTTAAAAAATATATGGGGTGAAACACAATTGAAGCATATTTCAGTGAGACAAAAAATGCGCCTGAAGATGAATTTTTGAAATCAAAAGACCAATTTCAGATTTTTCATATAATTCTTTCCACCTCTCATAAGGTGGAATTAGGAATTTCTTAATTTTAAAAGGTCACCCAAGTTGCTATATTTGAAAGAAGAAGGCCCATAAGAAAATTGAAAATTGGATATAGTTTAGGGATGGCAAAAAAATCTGTATCCGCGGATATCTATGGATAAAATCCGTCACGGATATGAGACGGCTAGCTTAATGGATATCCACGGATAAAATAAATGGATATTAAAATACCTTTTTATTAATGGATATGGATATGAATTTAATGATATCCATATCAGATATCCGTTTATAAATTATAAAAAATTATTTAAATATCATTAGTTTATTATACCTTATCTTTTCATCTTTTAAAAAAATTAGTCTTCATATACTTTTTTTTTGTTGGAAATTTTCTTTGAAGAAAATCTTTCACTTTTTACTCAAATTCTATTAGTCATTTCATATTTAAATTCTTCGATACTTCATACATCACTTCATCAATTTCACAGTTTAACCAACTAATATCGGCATTCCTCTGTCGAACCAGTGTCTCTCTTCCTACTCCTCTGTCGTCCGATCTTCCATCACAACTCACAATCACAATATTTTTTATTTGTTTGGTTAAAAATGAAATATATAGATATTATGTTTTGGTGAATGAGAAAAAAATTAATGTGATGAAATTTTATTATTAAATTAAGAGCGAATTGTATGAATGTTATGTGATAATAACTTTTTGTGTCTTTAAAAGAAGTTAAAAATATTTTTTTCAAAAAATAATTTTTATAAAAAAAATATTATACATTGATATCTGTAAATATTCGTGGATACCGTAAAACCCGGGGATTACCCGCTTAACGGATATCCGCATAGATATGGAGTAAATATGGATATCATATTTATCTAACGGGACTGATACAGATATCATAATATTCGTTTCCATGAATATCCATTTACATAGTTGAATTTGAAACAATGTGAAGGACGAAATTAAAAAAGAAAATAGATATGCTAAGAGTCTCAGATTATATAATATATGATCTGAGTATGCGTTTATAAATTGAGATAAACCTCACTGTATATGTTAATTTTGTAAGGATGAATTAAATCAAACCATAATTGTCAATATGATATCATTTTACTCTTCAAGTTTGTTTTTAAGGATAAGTTAGGTTCTTTTTAAAAATAATAATTTTTAATTTGGAATTTCTAAATAATGAATGTGATGTGAATTTGTTGAACCAAAATTTACAAAGGGATGCATATTCATATCAGCCACCAGCATTTAAAAAGAATTATGAATGCCACACATAGGTTTTTTATTTTTTATTTTTTTACAGTTATATCCTTTCATCTCTTAAAAAGATAAAAGATTAAAGCAAATAAAATAATAATTAAAACAAAAATTTGGCTAAAATATATAAAGGGCAAATAGTATAATCAAGCCAAGAAACTAATAGAAAAACAACCCTTCAAATAGATTAACAAGTCCAAAAATACTTTTGAAATTAACAAGTCATTACTCTAAAAAAAAAAAGTCTAAGACAAGTAATGGTTCATCTAATCCCATTCCTAACACTATCATTATTTTTTATACTTAATGTTATAAATTGGCAATGTTCACCTTTCACCTAACCTTGTAAGAAAATTTGTTAGATGAATATTACAAATTAGTTAACAAGTAAATGTGATAGATGCTAAGTTACCATCTCATCTCATTCATAGCAAAACTAACCAAAACATGCAATTTCCTTTGACATTAAAATGCTACTAGAAATGCATACCAAGAATATTATTACATTTTCCAAAGTAAAAGATCTGTATCTTATAATGTTATATATCCTCATCATGCATAAGCATAACACTCACTTCATACACTGTGAGTGTAATAAGATGTGCAACAAATTCTTTTATGTCAACCTTTTTTTCTTTTTCTACCTCTCATTATTTCACAATGTTTATGCTTCTCAAACCAAGAATTTCAACTTGCAACTCAAAGCTGTAAACCTTGGAAATTGGCTTGTTATTGAAGGATGGATGAAACCTTCTCTCTTTGATGGAATAATCAACAATGATCTTTTGGTATATTATATATATACTAGTTAATCTCTATTACTTATTTTTTCTATGTAAAAAATGTATATATCACAAGATAAATTATTTGGTAATTTCAGGATGGAACTCATGTGCAATTTATGTCATTAAAACTAGAAAAGTATCTATGTGCAGAACATGGTGGAGGAACTATTATTGTGGCCAACCGAACCAGACCTTTTCATTGGGAAACTTTCAGAGTCGGTTTTTATTTTGAGTTTCTAATAGTTATTATCGCTGTGTGTCTACGGACAACAAAAATTAATATATATTTATTTTGTTGCACAGTTGTGGAGGCTGAATGAGACAATGTTTAATTTAAGAGTGTCAAATAAGCAATTTTTGGGATTAGAAGGTGAAAACAAATTAGTGGCTGATATAGATTCACCTGGAAACAATGAAACATTTGAGATTGTGAGAAATGAAGATGATCGAAACATGGTTAGGATCAGAGCATCAAATGGTTTGTTTTTACAGGTTTGTAACTTTGAAAAAAGACGTGTCCGTGTCAGTGGACACTGACCATTCGGATTACGTTTAAGATTTTCATTTTTCTCAATGTTACTGTGTCCAATGTTGCTTCGTATGACTTACTTGTAAGATTATGCTTTAAATTAATATTTTGGTTTATTGATTAATTAGGCCATATCAGAGAGTTTAATAAGCACAGGAACAGTTTATGAAGAATCCATTTGGGAGGACAATGACCCTTCAATATTCAAAATGACCGTTTTGTCTGACACAATTCTAAGAGGAGAATACCAAATTACAAATGGTTATGGTCCAAACAAAGCTTCCAAGATCATGCAGGAACACTGGAAGACATATATAACAGAAGATGATTTCAAATTCATGTCAGAAAATGGCTTAAATGCAGTCAGAATTCCTGTGGGGTGGTGGATAGCGAAGGACCCAACACCACCTAAGCCATTTGTTGGAGGATCCTTAAAAACACTTGACAGTGCCTTCACATGGGCACAGTTAAGACTATAGTCAGATTTTGTTTACCATACAAATGAAAAGTCCATTTTGTCTACCAATGGTTATAACTCAGTAGTTAATGGATTTTGCAGAAAATATGGAATGAAAGTTATTGTAGACCTGCATGCTGCACCGGCTTCGCAAAATGGAAGAGCTCATAGTGCGACAAGAGATGGATATCTAGAATGGGGAGATTCCAGCATTCCTGATACAGTCGCAACCATAGACTTCTTAGCTCAAAGGTTTCATACATACTCTCTTCGCTCTGGCCTTTAATATAAAAAATATTTTACGTTTTTATTAAATAATCAATGTATCTGATGCAGATACGGTGAGAGGTCAAATTTAATTGGAATACAACTGATGAATGAGCCTCAAGGAGTTGATTTGGAAAGTCTTAAAAAGTATTATAAAGCTGGTTATGATGCTGTAAGGAAACACACATTAAGTGCTTATGTGATAATGTCAAACCCTCTCGATAGAGATTCAAAAGTGCTTCTACCGTTTGTTAAAGCTTTTGATAAAGTTGTCATTGATGTGCATTACTACAATCTCTTTTCGGATAAGTTTTCAAACATGAATGTGAAGCAGAACATTGATTATATTAAATATCAAAGAGCTTCTGAGATTAATTCTCTGACCACATCAAATGGACCACTCATCTTTGTTGGTAAACTTTCTTTTTCTTACACACTATTACACAGTTAATTTAGCCTTTAAGTCAATTTTTTTTATTAGTTGCTTAATAATATTGATATTTTTTGCGACAAAGTTTCCATTACTACTTTTAAATGTTAAATTCACATCAAAATTTTCAGGGGAATGGAGTGGTGATTGGAAGGTTCAGAATGCATCAAAACAAGATTTTCAAAAATTTATGAATGTACAAGTGGAGGTATACTCTCATGCTACATTTGGATGGGCTTATTGGGCTTGCAAATGTGACTCTAATAATTGGAGCCTTGAGTGGTTGCTTAAAAATAATTATTTTAAGCTTTAATATGCCCATATAATATTAAGAGTGATTTTTTTTAATTACAAATAAAGATCTTAAGTATTCAGTATTTATTTTATACGTTAACTGAAATCAGGTCAAGTGTATTTGACAAAAATAAGATAATGTACCACTGTTTTATATAATATATACATGTGAAGCTATTTATGACATGTGTTACTCTATGATGAAGCTTTTGTTACATACATCATACTAAATTCAAACACCCACCACATATGTATAGGAAAATATTAAATTATTCTTATCAACTTTTTAATTTAATTATATGTTTTAGTATAATGTTTAATATTAGAACTAACAAAAATATGACAAGCAAAAATAGGATGAGATGGTAAATTATTGACAAAATTGTATGCTTATTACAAATAATGACTACCTAAAGAATGGTGATTATTTCTTAAAGAGAGTTGTTTGAATTATTAGAGAGATATATTAAAGGATGTTTAAGATTTAAAGAATGCTTGATAGTATGCAGAAATTGACTAAGAGATGGTTTACCATGTTCTAGCATAATTTACTGTTGAGGATGAGCTCGATTCCTATAGCTTTCGGGCTATCTATTGGGTCAATTCTATTTAATGTGTGGACTTACTTGGTGAATGAATCGTGATATTTTTATATGTCACCCCTTACACATAATCTTGACATCCCTCAATAGTATTACTTTTATCATTAGTAGTAATATATCCCGTAAACGCATATGTTTTTTTTATTTATTTTAATCAAGAAAGAATATATTAATTTAAAAAACAAAGTCAAGTATAAAAGTGATCCAAAGAGGATCCAACCCCCCAAAAGACTTAATTACATCATAAGACTAGCCAAATGTTTCCTAATTCTATTGTTTTGCCAACCTCTATAAATCACATTATCTATGATTTTTGCAACCATGTTTGTATTATCTACTATGTTTCCAAAATTAATACTATTTATGTAAATCCAAATGTTGTAGATGGTTTCGGCTGTTACCATCTTCAAAACATCAGCTTTCCATCATTTCCCCTTTGTTTGATTAGTGATCCATATCAGTTCCCCTTTGGTTTCGGCTGTACCCGATCAGTCTTCTCCAGTGCACCCTTGTGCCATCATCAATTAATATCTTATAAAAAGTTGCCGCTTTAAACTTGCACGTGGTCATAGCTTGGTACCATTCATGCCGAATCAAATCCATATTATCTCTTTGTTTCAAAATGCCCCGCATGATCCAAGAATTATGTGGTTTGGGAACATAATTCATCATATTATTGCCTTTTAAGTACTGAGTATGTATCCATTTAACCTAGAGTGTGTCTGTTTTGTTGCAAAGGTTCCAGAGGCATTTCAAGAGTAGCACGTTGTTCCAGATCTGAAGGTTTAGTATGTTCATCCCACCTTCCGCAGCAGGCCTGCACGTGGTTTTCCAACCACGCCACGGGGCATTTCCTGCTCGCAGCATCTTTTCCTGTCCAAATGAAGCCCCGACAAATTTCCTCGACTTTTTTGATCACGTATTTGGTCAGAGGAAGGCAGTGCATCCAATATTGTACCATTGCATAAGCTATGCTTTTCACTAGTTGAATTCTATCGGCATAACTTAGGAGCCTAGAAGACCAATGATGAATTCTAGCCACTATTTTATCCACCAATGACATAAAGTGGGTGATGGTTAATCTTTTGCTAGTAAGAGGGATTCCTAAGTATTTGACAGGTAGCGCGCCTTCTTAGAAACTCGATAGTTCCTTCAATCTCTTTCTAGTTTCCATATCCAAACCCTCCAAAATAAATCTTGCATTTGTTAGGGTTTATCATCAGACCTGTGGATTTGGAGAAATTTCTGAGAGTTTCTAACATCATTTTCATTGAAATTTCGTCACCTCTACACAGCAGCAATATGTCATATGCAAAAGTGAGGTTGGTAATTTTCAGACTCTCACATTTGGCATGGTAATTGAAATTAGGATCCCTTTGCAATTTGATCAACAACCTGTTAATGTACTCCATAATGAGATAAAAATAAAATAAAAATATTTTTTTTAAAATTAAGATAATTTATCATTTTAAAAGAAAATGTTTTTATTTATATTTGGATTATAAATATTATTTTTTTATATATAAATATATTTGGATCAACAGGATATTTTTTTTTATATATAAATATTATTTTTGTTAAAAATATTTAACCAATAGAAAATTTGTTCATGTTTATCAAAAAAAATTCTCATTAATTTAAAAATATTTAAAATTAATTTATAAGAAATATATTTTTTCTTTGATTTAAATATTTAAATTAATTTATATGATATTGTTTAATATCAACATTCCATTGATCGAGTAATAAGTGTATAATACATACAATTATTAATTGTATGAATAAAAGAAATAATTCCATGGTACAAATGAAAGGAGTATACTTAGGTTAACGTGAAAATGTATGAGTCAAAAAATTCAAAATTAATTAATACTAACCAAGATGTGGTAGTATTCATTTTCAAACAATTTTATGAATACAATTTTAAGACAATTATTCTATAATTGTCATATATTTGAATTTTATATATATATATATATATATATATATATATATATATATATATATATATATATATATATATATATATATATATATATATATATATATATATATATATATATATATATATATATATATATATATATATATATATATATATATATATATATATATATATATATATATATATATATATATATATATACATATATATATATATATATATATATATATATATATATATATATATATATATATATTTATTAATCACTAATTCCAATTGTTATCATTTTAGTATTTACACAACACTTGTAACATCAAAAAAATAAAATAAAAGATCAATGAAAAAAGCTTTAATAATTGTAGAGAGAATTTAATATTGCAAGTTTGCTCAAGTATTGTGTTATTCATGTAATAAGAGGCAATCTAGTATCTTGTGGTAGCTATGAGCTTATTTATCTCTTATCCCTTTAAATTCATGTATGAGCGATATTTGTTATATTTGAAAATATCATATTTTCACATTAAACATCTGGTGTGATTGAGTTATAAAACTCTTTTTTTCTTAGAAATGAGAATAGTTGAGTTTATCAAATAAACGTGATTGAATTAGATCAAACTGCATTTCTGACATCCCTTGTTTTGTATGTATTCTTCTGTTAGAACAAGATTTTGATTCTGCATATAATCTCTAGTTGTGATGATAACAATACATATAGTTTTTGTGTAACAATTATGTACTATAACGAATTTCTTAAAGTATGCAGTTGTTTAGTGAAAACTGATTCTAGATAACTCTCAAGAATTTTAAATTAGAATCTCTTGCATGCCTCAAGAAATCTACTTCGTTCTTTTCTAAAGAAACATCAGCAGTTCTAATGAATGATAAATGCCTCTGAAGAAAAGGAAAGATATGTGCTTCTAAGAAAAAGCTTTGCTTCAGCTCTGATAAACTGTTCTGAAGATCCTAAAGACAAGGTTCTGTTGAACCTGTTCTAAAGATTCTGAAGACATCACTTCTAAAGATTTTAAAGACACTGAAGTCTCTGATATCACTCAATATTTTATCCTCTGGTCTTACCAGATAAAGCTAATCAGAAGATATGGACAAGACAGAAACGTGTGATAAAAGTATCTGTACATGTAGACATCCCTATATTGGTATAAACTAATTTTCAATCAGTACTGTTGTATGGAATATGGTAGACTTTGCTACTATTGTCTCTCACGGGTCCAATGTTACCGTTGCAACAACTGAATTGAATAGTTACGCTTGTACCCCTCAAAGTTCAAACATCCAGCTATATAAAGAGATCACTCCTTCTTGCAATATACAACGATCAATGCCAAAAATAAGAGAAACACGTACTCAAGAGTTGCTGCTCATATTTGTGTAAAAACTTTATTCTTGACATTGTTTCATTTGCTTTATAGAAACATTATTATAAACATCTTTCTATATCTTCTTTGAATTTATTTTTCCTCAAGTGACTAAGTGTTAGTTTGTAGACTTGAGAGGACTAAGGTGTTTTTCTAAACACTTAGATAAACTTGCCGCAATATTTCAAGATTAGTGAATTAAGTCATTTTTAAAGGCGAAATCACCTTGGCGGGTGGACTAGAGTAACTTTGTCAACAGTGAACCAGGATAAAAATACTTGTTTCTTGTTATCTTTGTTCTCTTGGTACCTTTTGTGTAGAAGGTCGAAATAGTTTACTTTGTAAAAACCCAAGTCATACCCCCCCCTTTCTTGTATTTTTCTCCACCTTCAGTTGGTATCAGAGCTCCAACTATGTTATTGATATGTAAATCAAACACTTAACCGTGTAGAGAGATCAAGCGTGAGAAAAACATTATGGTCACTGCTAACACAAACGAAAGTGATAGTTACAATGTCAAGCCTCCTATTTTTTATGGAGAAATATTTAACTATTGAAAAGATAGAATGGAAAGTTTCTTTCTAGGCTATGATGCAGATCTTTGGGATTTTGTCATATATGGCTATGATATTTCTGTTTCTGCGATTGGTATTCTCATTCCTAGAAACAGAACGAGTGATGATCAAAAGCGTGAAAATCAAAAGTCATCGCAAAGCCAAAACCATTCTCCTAATTGCTATATCGTATAATGAATATGAAAAAATTACCAATAGAGACACAACAAATGAAATTTTGTATTCCTTGAAAATGAAACATGGAGGAAACACTAAAGTCAAGGAAACCAAAGCTCTGGCTTTGGTCCAAAAATATGAAGCTTTCAAAATGGATGATGATGAAACCATTGAGACTATGTTCTCAAGATTTCAAACTCTAGTTATAACACTCGAAGTTCTGGATAAAGGCTATTCTACAGCTGATCATGTCAGAAAGATAGCTAGAAGCCTTCCAAAAAAATGGAGACCTATGGTCACAACTCTTAAGCTATCTAAGGACCTGAACTACATAATCCTGGAAGAATTGGTCAGTTCGCTAAGAA